CAGGAAATTCCAAAATTAATCGCATCGTGATAAATGTTTCGATAAATTAAAAGAAATTCGATTAAGAAATTAAAGAGAACACTTGTTTCGTAATAGCAGCGGGAAACATTTCATGAATGTTAACGTTAACACTTTGGACGCACGGAATTAAATAACACTGTTGATCGATTAATAAAGGAAATATCTGTATAGACGAGTTTCGTGAAATATTTGAAATGAAATTCACGGAAATTATAATTTGAACGTTAAAGTAGGAGAACCCTTTAACCATTACGCGACCGGAAATGTTCAGATCATTCTTCGGACATAAACTCTAGAAACACAGCACTTCCGTTTCCGTTACGAAACGGCAGATTTTCAACGAGCGATCTCTTTAAGATTCAACGCGTATCTCTCGATCCTCTTATCGCTGCCAATCGTGGCACTAGCGCATAACCAACACAAACCTGGAAAAACGAGGAAACTGAGATTAGTCACATTCATTCCATTATTTTTCCCAGATTTCCTCAAAATGTCATCGTCACATACTATTTAGTTTTTGGTTTCTATTTAATATGCACGATATCTCTTGGTACCACGATCTGCCAATAAGATTAACGACACGGGGAACCGGAAGGAGCTGGACAAAATTCGATCTCTCGAACAGCCTATGGCGGGAAATCTAGGCTTAACCAACTTTCTATTATGTCGTTAGCATGTCTTCACTTTTTGAATCGGGAGGCGCACGGTGCGTCTATATCGTCATATATATATTGGTGGAATATATATATAATATATATATATCGTGTGATACGTAATATATGTTGGTATATAAACACGTAGTGAGTTAAGGTAATATATAGAGTAAGGTGAGGTTAGATACGTGGCTTAGGCTGCGCGAACGCCGGTCTCCGAAGCTCCACCTACTGACTGGGATCAAATCGTCTTTGTAATGGTCCGCTGCAAACATATTGACAGCCACAACTGTAGGCGCTATCCTTCGGTTTTTTAGCGGCTATACCGTGTCACGATAATACGCTCGCAGATTTGCACCAGTATTATCCTCGATTCTCGTTATTAATTTCTTGCCTGTGCGTTTCGTTCACACAGTGTATTAACTGATCTACTTACAGACTAAACTTTTACACATCCCTTAAATGCTACGCTCTGTAATCACACACGTCTGCCTTAGGAACAGAGCCGACTGAATTAGGAATAATCGCATAACTGTCCGAGCTGTTAATCAAGTACGATAATGGATTACTATGAAACAGTGTAGTGGTCCGAGCTGTACGTCGGTTCAAGATTTCCATATTGCACGTACCAAACTTGAGAAAGTCTGTTGCCAAAGTAAAATTGTGTACCTCACTCGTACGAGTAATTTCTTTGTAAATGGTCTGATCGAATGTTATTATGTACATACGTATACTGATCATTGGTAATACCCGTAGCAATGTTGCACCATCCAATATTGATACGTTTCGAGAAATATTTTTTGGACTGTACGTAAATAAGGTTAAAGATCTTTATATATATACGATCAACTTTACGTTAAGTTCATCCGTGTCAAATTGAACTCAATAGTTTATGAATATATGAACAATTCCAAGTTATTGAGAGTATGCCCATTATGTAATGAACCAATAAATTATTCAAGGAATTATGACTGAACTAACTTTTTACTATTAACTTATTCTTTAAATGCCATATGAATGAATATGAATTAACTTCTTTATTAATTACATTGTATACATATATATGGCTTCCAGAGATCTTGCATTAAAATATAGAAATAAAAGTTAATCTTTTTTTGATTTTCAAGAATGAAAGACGGATCAAAAGAAAAATTTTTCTTTGTTTGACTAGTTTCTTGAATGATATGCCTGAAATTTATGCATCGTGACTCTATTCAAATTGATGATCATACAAAAAGTTTCATAATGAACATAAATGCAGCTGCGCTACATTTTACTTTGAACATCTGTATTATCACTTTTACAAATTAATGTACATGGAATCGACGTTATAAATTTACACAGTTATTTTGCTTTGTTAATCACACAGTTCATTAATAACCATTCTTATGAACAATATGATAAATAACTTGTTCTTTAAGTTTGCTCACATTACTGTATTCTCCTAAAAGTATTATTCGAAACGAAAATTCACGTTTCTTTGTTTGCAATAGAAAAAAACATAATTTCGTTCCTTAAATATCGAATCCCGTTTTAAATATCTTAATAATTCATTCGTAAAACCTCATTTCATTACTTTCGAATAAAGGAAATATTAACATACAATGAATCTGCGCGAAGTTTAATAATTCGTCGGTCAATAAATTTTTTTTCAATCGCACGAAGCACACACAACTCCTGAATATATGCATAATGCGTTCTCGAGTATGCACGTCGGTTGAGTCAATGAAAAGTGCATAAATAAAGCGAAACGTGACATATAACGAAGAAAACCGATAATGCCGTAACGAAAACCGTTGTTTCCCGCATCGCATTCGAGTTTTAATAAAGAGTCGTTGCGAAAATTATCCAGGACGAGCTCTGGAAGCCATTTTGTATTTCCCACACAGAATGCGGTATTGATTTATCTGTCACTGGGCAGTAATTCAAGTTTTTTTCTCGTCGCGCGAGTACGAGGATCCGTTTGCGGAACAAATGATACAAGCTTTCGATCGAATTTGAACGTGCACCATTCTTCACAGGTGTCGGATAGCTAATAGCTAACAGAAAAAAAGAATTGTCCGTCGTACGAGTGACAAGTGGGTATATCCTCGACTCGAAAACACGAGATATTCTTAACGTGTGTAACACATACTGCTAATCGTTATTACGCGGTTACGATGTATAATTACCTTTCTTGTCGGTCATTATTGCTTAAAGTTTCACAAATTCTAGCAAAAAAATACGTTATTCCTAATTAAATCACCGATTCAAGTTTCAATACTGAGGAGACGAGCAACGGCTGTGACACTTGACGGACACTAGCGCCCTTTATTGAGCCTGCCCGTGGCTCCTCTGATGCCTTGACGCTATTGGTCGAAAATTTTACGCGCGGCTGCCCAATGAATGCAACGTTTTCCACTTGATATTGACCGCCAAAAATTCAATAATTTTCGGAGCAACAAATATTTATAACAATTCCATATTAAACTATAATCTCTTTTCGTCGTATACTATTATTGTAAATTTACAACTGGAATTGTTTACATAGAATGCTACCTTTAGATGCACAATGCATTAAAAGCACACTGATAAAGAAAATTCATAACAATACAGAATAATACAAATTACATATTTTTATGATAACGGGCAGCTGATTCTTAGAAATAATTTTCATTATAATTTTTTATCTCTGTACAGAAAGATAAATATCGAGATGTAGCGTTGAAAATTTGCCTAAGTGCGTAGCACGACTTCCGATTAATTGAGTACTAAAGATTCTAAAACAATTTACAAATAGCTACTTTTTTAGGAGGAATATGAAAAATTTATAATTTCTTTGAAAAATTGATTTCACGTTGTTTGTATTGGAAAAGTAACCAAAAGCGGTTTTTGTCGTACATTGCGATAAATTTTATCGGATATATATACTTCACTGAAAATTAATATTTATTTAAAAGGAAAAAAGGAACAATATTGTACTAAATATATGTTCCATTGACTCATTCGAATATTGTAATTTTTAATGTTATACTTGTTTGATAACTTCAAGTAATAGCATTTTATCGTATACTTGGCTATATTGTGACATCCAACAACGTTCCGCAGGAAAGTATTTAAAATCTATATCAATTGAGGAAAAGATGTTGCTGTTATGAATAATAAACATTATTGTAACGAAACAAAATATTTTCGTAAATAATAATATGTTCATTGTTTAAAAGTTGCTGTATATTGAAATTTTAGCTTTCTAACCTTAATATTTATCAAATTTTTCAACTGTTGAAAAGTATAAACAAATTAAATAAACTATTTTCTGTAAACTATCATGGCACACGATAAAAAAACTGTAAGACGGAGTCGATCCCGTGAACGGGATCGTGATCGTGAAAGAGAGCGTGAACGTCGTGATCGGCGACGATCTAGGAGCAGGTCAAAGGATCGTAAAAAGGATAGAAAACGTTCTAGATCTCGAGAACGTTCACGAGAACGGGATAGATCGCGTGAAAAAGACAGGGACAGATCTAGGGAAAGACGAGAGTCTAAGGATAAATCAAAGGATGAAAAGAAAAGAAAGCCAAGTCCGATATTTGTTATGGAAGATGAGAACAAGAAAGAAAATAAATCTGATACGAAGAAGGAGGAAGAGGAGATGGAAGATAAAGCAAAGCTTATTCCTAAAAAAGAACCGCTTAGTTTAGAAGAATTATTGGCTAAAAAGAAAGCTGAAGAAGAAGCAAGGGCCAAACCAAAATTTTTAACTCAGGAGGAGCGTGCAGCTTTAGCATTACAGAAGAGACAAGAGGAAGTTGAAGCTATTCGAAAACAGCAGGATGAAATGCGTAAATCTTTGTTTCATAATGAGAGTACTGGAAAAGAACGAGAATGGGATGAAAGAGATAGGTAAGTAAAATCTTTTACGAGTAAACGCAATTAAATGATATTTAATATCTCTCAATTTAATGTTTCAACAGTTTATTAAGTAGGCGTAGAGATGGTCAGCGCACAAGGGAAGAAGAAATTAAGGACAAAGATAAAGAAAAAGAAGTAGAAGCTATTAAAGAACGTTACTTAGGATTAGTAAAGAAAAAACGTCGTGTTAGAAGATTAAATGATAGGAAATTTGTATTTGATTGGGATACTTCAGAAGACACATCTGTTGATTACAACAGCATTTACAAGGAACGTCATCAGGTTCAATTCTTTGGTAGAGGAAATCTCGCTGGTATAGATATCAAAGCACAGAAACGAGATCAAAGTAAATTTTATGGAGAACTTTTAGAAAAGAGGAGAACAGAAGCAGAAAAGGAACAGGAGAAGTATATATTGGTTGCAGTATAAAAAATTATTTACATAATGTCTATTTATTTACATTAACATCTATTTTCCACTTTCAAGGATGAGATTGAAAAAAGTGAAGAGGAAAGAAGAAAAGCAGAAGTGGGATGATAGACACTGGTCAGAAAAAGCTCTTCAGGAAATGACTGAGAGAGATTGGCGTATATTTAGAGAAGATTACAATATTACAATAAAAGGAGGTCGCATACCAGATCCAATTAGATCATGGAAAGAATCAGGATTCCCTAAGGAAATTCTCGATATTATTGACAAAGTTGGATACAAAGACTTAACACCTATTCAAAGACAGGCCATTCCTATAGGTCTTCAGAATAGAGATATCATTGGTGTTGCAGAAACTGGTTCTGGTAAAACTCTGGCATTTTTAATTCCATTACTATTGTGGATTACCAGCTTACCAAAAATTGAAAGATTGGAAGAAGCGGATCAGGGTCCATACAGTATAATTTTAGCACCAACCCGGTATGTTAGATTATATAATATGCATTGCCTGAAGTATATTCTTATTTATAAAACATGTTTTTAGTGAATTGGCTCAACAAATAGAAGAAGAAACTAACAAGTTTGGACAACCATTAGGTATAAGAACAGTCGTTGTTGTTGGTGGTCTTTCAAGAGAGGAACAAGGCTTTAGATTAAGAATGGGTTGTGAGGTATCAATTTGTTATTGTGCAGATATTATCCATTATATACCTGTAAAATGCAAGTTTTTATATTATATAGTAAATTTTGCCATTACAGATTGTAATAGCTACGCCTGGTCGATTGATAGACGTACTAGAAAATCGATATTTAGTTTTAAATCAGTGTACTTACATAGTACTAGACGAAGCCGACAGAATGATAGACATGGGATTTGAACCAGACGTGCAGAAGATTTTGGAATACATGCCAGTTACAAATTTGAAGCCAGATAACGAAGACGCCGAAAACGAGGAAAAACTTTTAGCCAACTACAATACGAAGAAAAAATATAGACAAGTAAAAAATCATTCTTTCCATTACATTAACTTGTTCATCCAAATGACTGCTTAATTGTATTCCTATCATTTTCAGACTGTGATGTTCACAGCCACTATGCCACCTGCGGTAGAACGATTGGCCAGAACTTATTTAAGGCGACCAGCTGTTGTGTACATTGGCAGTGTTGGCAAACCAACAGAAAGAACAGAACAAATTGTGCATATTATGGGTGAGGCTGATAAGCGTAAGAAACTTATGGAGATCCTCAGCAGAGGAGTAGAACCACCAGTGATTATATTCGTAAATCAGAAGAAGGGTGCCGACGTACTTGCAAGAGGTCTAGAAAAACTGGGTGTATGTTTCTTTTTCACATTAACATTAACTTTTGATCGTTCATATTATATATTTAATTCCACTTCATTATTTTATTTTGTTTTTCAGTACAATGCTTGCACACTTCACGGTGGTAAAGGACAAGAACAGAGAGAATATGCACTTGCATCTCTCAAGAGTGGTAGCAAAGACATTTTGGTTGCTACCGATGTTGCCGGTCGTGGTATAGATATTAAGGATGTTTCGATGGTTATTAATTATGACATGGCTAAGACCATAGAAGGTAAGTGGACTCTTATTTCTTAATTAAAGGGATTGAAACTGGTATTATTTCTTACCTTTGTTTTTAGATTACACGCATCGTATTGGTAGAACTGGTCGAGCAGGAAAGGCTGGTCTTGCTATTTCGTTCTGTACTAAAGACGATAGTCATCTGTTCTACGATCTTAAGCAAACAATCCTCGCAAGTCCGATTTCTACTTGTCCACCAGAGCTACTTAATCATCCAGACGCGCAACATAAACCTGGCACAGTAGTAACGAAAAAACGTAGAGAGGAAAAAATATTCGCCTAAAAACACAAACACTTAATTGTAAGCATTTGTTTATAACCGACCCGTGTATTTATGTCTTATACATAGATGCATATTTTTTTATAATGTTTCATCAGGGTAGGAATGTGACTGTCAATGTAAACAAAACGAATAAAATGTAAATACATACTACTGAAATAAATTTTGTATTATTTCTGCTTGTATAAGTTGAGGATCTATGGATGTAGTGTCTGGGATCGAAGTGAAGAAATGTGATCCTATTTCAGCAGTCATCTCTGAAAAATATGTTAACATATTATCCGATATTTTATTTTGCAACGAATCATTTTAAAAAGTCTACAATTTCACAATTATTTATTACAAGAATTCCGGCTTTAAATGTTACTTATCGTTAACAATTACTTAATTATTTTCCACTTTTTTAAATAATGTTCTTCATTTACACTGTTAATAAAATAATTATAGTCAAGGAACTGGAGCAGGCGGAGGAGTGTAATCTCCTTCAACTTTGCATTCTTCTTTCCAGTCATCTGGTATCATTGGTTTCATAATTTGTATAAATTTGTCAAGCGGACAAACCGTTACGCAACCAGGAATAGTCAGCGAATAAGGTTCGTGATTAGTTGTGTTTCTTAAGAACACCTATGGAAAAAACGCATAAAAGCTATGCAACCGTTATCTAAATATCGTCGACTCTGCATAAAACATAAAGGCCTTACTTGAACATTCCAACCATCTTTGTCCTCGTGTAATTCGATCATGGTCATAATATTATAATGTGGCATTTGATTGTTCCATACGTGCATAACATCCAACAAAGTTACAACTGTACTATCATGACCGATATACATAAACATTTTCCTGTGTTCAGGAACGATAGTATTATCTTTCTTCGCCAACATGTCAGTTACGATCTTCTTAAGGAATGGTCCACCTTTGAGTCGTCTTAAAAGATCATTATATACATTCAGTTCAAAATCGTACAGTGTTAATGGTTCCATCTTATCAGGATAGTAATCGTCAGTCCATTCAGGAAGGGTCAAATTCATTTGTTTCTAAAATATAGAATTTATGATTTTCATAGTGTTGCCTTGAATACATTTAGTCTTTGAAGGAAACAATACGCACCTCGGCTGTTAATGTTCCATAAAGAGAATTGACGTCTTCAGGAGATGATATTGCCATACCTGTTAAGTTCGTTAATTCATTGTACAAGTTCGTGTTATCACTTTGAATCTTTTGCACTTCTGGTAAAGACATAATTGCGCGTCTTAGCTTGGTATATTTCGGGCATGTATCCCATATTAACATTAACTGCAGACATGAGATTAATTAAAAATAGAATAATAAATTCCATAAGTATGAAATAAAACCTGAATATAAAAGAAAAAAAAATATATATATGTATGTGTGTATATATATATATATACAGTATCTTCCGAACGTGGTTGATAAAACAAGGTGACTGGTTGCCAGGGTAGATCAGCTTTGAAAGACTGCTTTTCGTTTGGTTTCCACAGAGCAGCTGCTTCTAGCAAAGCAGACATCTTTGTACGATCAACCGCGGTAGATTGTAGATAAAATATTTCTGGACTGTAAATTGGTCCCAGGAAGTCATCGTAACGATTGCGTAGGAAAAGTCCTTGATTATACTGACTTCGTCTTCCCTCCTACACAGCAGTTTTGAAGTTTATCATTGAATCAAACCTTATTGTTAGGTCAACCAATAACAAGAACTTATTACATTCGTCAGTTGACCCCAACCATAAGGTTCCATTGAATCATTTAGGTAGGGATCATTTGGATAAGTATCTTGTGGTGCTCTTTCTCCATGTCTCATTACCTAAAAATTACTTTTTTTACTACCTTCTCCAACAGATACTATTGTTTAATTATTTCTTTTTACCGTCTTCTATTCTTGCACAATTGTATACTAATTTCAAAAGAGTAAATTAAGTGACAGAACGTGTACCGCGAAGATAAGTAGTTCAAATAAATGGAGCTTGTTCCTACTATTGTAGTATCTTTCAAAAGAAATGGATTTACATTGTCAAGACCTTGCGAAACATTTAATGATCGCACGATAAAGCTAAGCCCGTTACAGATATGTCTACCTCGAATAAACGCATACAAAAAGAGACACACACACACACTGATTACCAGACAATGAAATACAGACTGAACTTTTTCAATTTAACACAATTTTTTCACGAACCTACCACTACAACCAGACGAAGAGTAGTATCTCCAGTTTTTCTTTCATTTTTCTTATTATTAGTCCCGCCCTCTTCGAGTGTCACAGGCGATCCTATAAACGGAGAGAACCGGATACATTAAATAACACTTTCAAGGACGTTTGTGAAACTAAATATATGATAGAATTGAAACAATCATAGGAATAAGTACATATCAACTATTATAAGTGAAGCTCGATACGACTGCTGTGGAAAAATTGTGATTTTTCCGCAAGTTTATTAATGAAACAATTTACCTGACGACAAGTAGACGGCGGCGATAAAAATTAGAAGTTTAACAGCCAGCATTTTTAAATATAGTCGAATAATTTTTTTAAGGACCGCCTTCCATTGACTAGTCGACTCCAACGAGCTGCTACACGTGCTGAACGGCTGCAGACTGGGGCCTTAAGAACTGCTAGCAGATAAATTCTGTGTCCCCACCATGCGAAAAGTTGTATTCTACAATATAATGTTACTAGTAACAAGACCGTCTTCTGTACTCAAGTGTCGAACATTTATTCTATTGATGTCAGTCGGTCGCGTGAAATATAAAAGATTGTACCTCGCACGTGTCCCGATTCTCTCCACTTTCGTATGCCGTTAATAACTCTAGGAACCTGGAACATACATTGTAAATTAATAAGCGATGAATAAAGATATATTTTCACCCGGTACGAAATCATTCATTCCCAGCCCTTTTAATTGGATTACTACTCCAGATTCTTTGATCGTATTACTGTATTACTTTGGTCTTCCACCGTTTCCAATAATGCGAACAGTGTCTCCATTTGGAGATAAAAAAAAACTGCAAAGGAAGCAAGGATTACGTAGTTATGCAATAAGCCGATTGACTTGCAGTAATTTCTTGTTGTCGAAGTTCATGCTTTATCCATGACTGGACGCTCCGAAATGAGAAAAGGACGTCTTAATTGCTATCCTTGAGTACGAGTGACGGGGTATTAGAAAGCACGTGCTACGACACTTTTAGAGTTCAGGTCGCCTGGTAGTCAATTCATTGTAAAATCCCACGGATTATACGCAAAAAAAAAATCACAATATTCGAATTCTCTGAAGCTCGTATTGAAGCGATCAAGCTGAAAAAAAAGATTCGTAGCGTCGGAACCGGTAGCGACTCGTTTTTAATGAAATGCGAGTATAATTGCTTTTCAATAATAGGCATTACTTAAATATCATTTAGCATGATAGAAGGAATCATGTAAACACGCGGCTGTTACTATTCGATCATACACAACGGACAAACCAAACTTGAATATTCTAAGCAACGTTCATAATTAATGCGAACGCAGTTACGTTGGCAGGTTTTATAATTGATAAACGACTATTGTGTAACCGCTGTGCGTTAACGGTTGCATTTATGTTTGTCAATGAGTTGTCAAAGCTTGGCGAAAGAAACTCGAAAGAAATTCGAACGACCTTAAATATTACCGTATCGTTACAACCGTCCCGATAATGGTAATTTCAATTTATGAAAACGATTCCGGTACAGTCTGTCTATTCTCGTTTTGACGGAGTTCGCCCGGAGTCAGTCTTTTGTCATATTTTATTGTCAGGGCAACGACAAATCAAGATGCTCATTTATTTTATCGAAATATCCAAAACCATAATCCTTGCAAGCCTGTACAAGCATCTAACGGGCTTTGCTCTTTGTTGACGCGATCCACGAGCTCACGAACGCCGAACAAGAAGACTCTGGGCGAGAAGAGAGTCACGTATGCGAAGATCTTCGTGAAACCCAAGTACCGGGAATCCGCCAGATACGCGGATTCGTTGGAAGCCCCCAATCCTGTGGATAGACAAACAGCTTCAGCCGTGGATCGCATAAACAAGGGTGGTCAAACGGTGGTGTCGAAACCCCGGAAATCTCGCCGCAAGAAGTCGAGAAACGCTGCCACCAACTCCAAGGTCTCTCTCACACGATTATTCGTGAACCGATTACCAAATCGTTCGCCCTTCATTTCTACTTTCTCTTTACATAACGGAGTGTTGCAAAATTAACTCGGAAACCATTGACTTCGTTACAATAAATCCGTTATTCCGAAAGAGTCGGAGCACGTTATCCTGTTAATCCCTAATGTTCCAGTTTTATGACATTTTCAACTGAACTTTCTAAAAAAATAATCACAATAGATTAGCGTTACGTTAACGATATATATATATTAATTATTATATATATATATATAATTCTTTCGGTTATTCAATTTCCGACCGTACGATATTAAATTTTTCCCCGATAATGTAATAACTTTGTTGCGTATGGTTGCACGAGGTATTACAGCTACTCGAGCTAATCCACGGTTATTTCGAGTAATCTGTTCTAACGTGTCTTCTCGTGAATTCAAAGACAAAACCAATGGCAACTACTTGCGGCGAATATCGAAAAGACACCCAGAAATGTAATACACAAGCGGGAACACAGTCGCAGAATCAACAACCGTGTTCCATGCCAGCAATTCAGAATCAAACGAATTCGACGACGCCGATGCGCCTGAGATCTCTTTACACGGCGCACAGCTATCATACGCAAACAGACGAATCTAATTACCAGGTACATCTACAAGTACAGCTCGAAAAGTTAAAAGAGATCCCTGTACTTTCTAATTCAATAATTTCTCCGTCTATAGGCAATCTCGCTGATTTTATTCCAGCGTTTAATATTTAAAACTGCGAGGCGTGTTCATACTGTAGATCATTTTTAATTTCTTGAGCTGTACTTTAAAAACGGTCCGCGGATCATAAGAATCGTTTCCCTCTAGCGATACAGTGAATTTTCCAAGTATTTTGAAGCACCTCCGTCGGAACAATGGGGCGGGCTAACGAACGCAACGCCGTTCTCCAATTCAACGCTTTGGCGGCAGCCACGGAACTCGAAAGTGGTTATGCCTTACTACGAAGAGACCTGCGTCTACGCGGAAAACTGGAGGGAACACGATACCGATGCAGCCATAGTTACCACGCCGCATGGGACCATTTCCCTGAGACTTCACAACAGAATTCGAGTAGATATGACCATCGATCGCGCGGTCAGAATAATTAATTTCAAGGTATCCCTTTCTTTTCCTACATTAAAGCAAGATTCCAGTTGAGAATGTATCGCTTGAAATTATTATCAAGACTTCTACCAAAGAAAAGAAACAAAGAGCTATGAAATCGACAGTAGGATGTTCGCATTGAAAAATTGAAAAAGGAGTAATATGGTTTATACTTACACAATTTTTATATGTATTTCATTTATCGTCAGCGTAGAATAACATTGTACTATCGTTGAGTGGTTCTGGGGCAACCGCAGCATTACTGCACCCGAATGGAAGAATATATCAATATGGATCACGAGTTGAAATCTTGGCCCACGACGCCCATGGCAATAACAAGTTAGTGGTATCTGTAACATCGTTAAAACATTATTAACTATCGACATTGTCATTCGTTAGATACGCAAAAATGTGGTACAAAGGAGTCAGCTTCACGTCCGAGCAATGTGCTCTTGTCTATTTAGTGGACACAGCGGGAACGAGAACGACTACAGACTCGTTTTCTGACATGAGTCAGGTATAGTAATGTAATACATATTTATAATGTTTATTTACATTATACCGCCTTCCAGGATTTTTCTGTAAGTGTCTTTTATTCCCGTTCTCGACACGGTTTAACGTGCCTGCAAGAAGCTGCGGCCGCTCTAGACTCTGCTCAATACTGGTTAACGAACGAAGGAGTAGAGAATTGGATTATCAATAATGTCAGAGTTTCCCAAACACCTGATGGTCTTGTTAGGTACCTTCAACTCGTTACGATTCAGAAAACCATATTAATATTATGAACACATAAATATGTAATTTATGTTTCCGCTAGAATCGCACGGAATAGTAACAAATATCAGTTGCGCACATCCCCTAGTAATGGTACTGCTTCGTTAACAACGCCGTTTTTACATTGTACCGCTTCTTTGGGCCAGACATCCCATCTTTTCGTGCGTCGCGGAGAACGACGTATGCACTACGATGGAACCAGTTTTATTGTTCGCAACGCAGGCCACAGCGCTGGATTCGATGACAATAACCAGCTGAAAGTTTACTAAGAAATTCTAATGCCAACTTTCATTGTCGTGAACTTTGTAAAAGCTTTCCTCGCGATCACACAATTCTCGCATCCAGTATACAGATTCGCTTTTAATGTCGTACACTCGGTACAGCTATGTGGAACTAAAAAATATCTGTTGCATATTTTGGAACTTGAACTCTTGCAAAGTGACTAATTACCCCAGCAAACTGCCAAATATTCTAATCAGTTTTTAAGTTTAGAAATTCACTTGAATTTCATTTTAAAGATGTTTTGTAATTTAATGAATTGTCTTCATTTACCATAAAACGTAGCTACAAAAATGTGTACAATTTGTTCTATAAAGAGTTTTCCATAAATTTGGAACGATTGATATTTTCACTAATTTGTTCCTTATGCTACTTTGTACATTTCTCAATAAATAATGATTTAAATATAAACACCATTCTGCTTAGCATTTTCTGTTATTACAAGATAATAAACTTACAGATAAAAGATGTATTCTTCATTAATATTTTTACTCTGAATCTAGTATATCTGAATCATAATCGTCAATTTCTAAGTCCTCTTCAGAGTCATTTGAGTCTGTTTCATAATCATCCTGATCAAGCAGTGGTCGTATTCTTTTATTTGTTCTAGTATTACCTTTCCTAAAGTTTAAAAGTATAAATCAAATAAGTAGACAATTGTACTATCAAATATGTTATAAAGATACAAAAAAATATATACTTACTTTCTGGGTTCTCCTTTCGAAGTAGAAGCATTGGAACTAAACGCGCTTTGCATCTGCTGATTTCTTCTTTCCTCTTCAAATTCTCTAATGTCATTAATAATTTCCCCAGCAATGTTGGGATTAAACATATTTAAACTAGTGGCTGACTCAGTTTTAGACATCAGTATCTGTTTCTTTTCTTCGTAAACTTTACTTAATTCATCAATTTTTGAGAGAATTTGGTGCTTGTCTGTCAAGTCTTTCAAAGTTGATATTACAGAATACGGATTAAAGGAGTGTGATTCCTTTTTACGATAATGTTTCTCCAGGCCATACTAAAAACAAGAATATATCAAATTATGATACAATACAAATTTCTTCATTATTTTTTAAAGGTATAAAGTCTTGTCAATATTAGTCAATTACCTCTTTATCAAAAATACAAAAGTGAAATGCATTATCTACTATTAATTTAGATAATATATAATTGGCATCTAAATGCTCAGCCTCCTTTATTTCTGCATGTAGCTCCATAATATTTCTCCAATCATCTAGTTTCACTCGAATTTTAAACAGATCAGTAGGCATCTTATAATATATTCCATAAAGAAGATACAATCCTCCAATGCGTTCTTTAAATCGAGGAGGTAAAAGAAGAAATTTTTTGGAGGTATTTAGAGCTTCTTCACAAAATTCTAACATTTCAATGTATGAAGGACGTCCACTAAAAATATAGAGAACATTAATTTCAAATAAGTATAACTTTTTAATGTAACTACTTATAAAGACAACATTGTGGATGCTTGTACAAATTTTCATTTTTGTATTCTACTTCACAGAAATCAGCAATTGAAGAAACTCAAATTCTGAATTTCTTTTACACTTTTTTGCAATGTTCGTAGGTAACTTACGTGAAAACCAAAGAAAATTTCATATCTTTCCAAATCTCGCAAAATGTTTGAAATCTGATATCGTTCGCCTGTTCAAAACGGGTAATTAATTGTTCACAATCTTCTTTAAACCCGCTTAAAATCAACGACCTGCTTGTTGCCATTTTGAAATCTTTAAAATATAGAAATGTTATCAGGAATTAATTGTTTACTGTCAAGTAGACAGCAACAGTCAGCGATGACGCAGTATTTTGCACGATTACTTGTTATTTCTTTTAACTCTGGTATATACACACAAAACTTTAAAGCTCGCGTTCGAAGACACTTGCTCTTGTTTGACATTATTCTTTCGCAGTATACAGTAGAGACATCTATGACGACATATCCTTAAACGCGGATAATTTGAATAACACGAAATATCTATTAATTTAAACGATAGACGAATAGAAGTCAATTTACAACAACTTTCAGAATCGAATAAAAATTAATTGAAATTAGATCTTGATAAACAATACAATTAATTCGGAGATCGTATACACGTGAAAACCAAATGATTTAAAACCATATTCAAAATGTTTTATTTATTAATTTTCTTCTATTGGAAAAGTAGTTAACAATTGTTTAAATTTATTAACTATTTTTGAAGTTCCATAAAGCAGTTCGATGCATACAAGATTAATGAAGAAGTAAAGTCTTAAAATTTAAGGCGTTAGACGTTTCGGATCACGAGGGAACATTGAAACCTTTCTGATATTATCTAAACCAAGATACAACATTACGACGCGCTCCATTCCGATTCCGCCACCAGCATGAGGAGGGCAACCATATCTAAATGCGTCGATGTATGCTTTGATCTGTTCTAAATCTAAAATATTAAAATAATAATAATGTATTAAATATATATAATTATACACATGATAAAACGTAGATACCCTTACCAATTCCATGATGTTTGGCACGTTCTGTCAGAAGTTCAGGGTCATGAATACGCTGCGCACCAGAAATAATTTCTTCGCCTCGCATAAACATGTCGTAAGAATTCGATGCTTTCTGTAATAAATATTATGATATCTATTCGACAAATTACCTTAATATACTGAATTACATCTACTCACAGGATTATTTGGATCTGGCATTGTGTAAAAAGGTCTCACTGCGAGTGGATACTTATCCAAAATATAGAAATCAGTGTCATACTAAAAGTAAAATTAGAAACACTGTTTAATTAACTTCTGATATTATGTACACAAGTTAAGATATATTCTGTGCAAAAAGAACTTACTTTTGCTTTTACAAGTTTACCCAGTAATTTCTCATCGGGTGTAGACAAATCATCTTCTTCACCTAAAGTTACTCCAGCATCTGCCAATAATTCAATTGCATCAGTGAATTCTAATTTTAAAGGTGGATCTAAAAATTTGAAAGGTTCTACATTGTACTGCTGACGAACAGCCTGAATCTCAGCAGCGTAACTAAAATCATATAATACAAACATCTTTATAGACTGCAGAGAAAAATGAATTCTTCTGTACCTATATTAATGAAATATGTTTACTAACGTATCACGAAGACCTTTGAACATCTCCGTAAATAATTGTCCAATAGTATCCACTACCTCATGATAATGATACTTAAATGCCATTTCTAAATCAAGACCGACGAATTCTGTCAAATGTCTGTGTGTATTAGAATCTTCAGCTCTAAAAACTGAATAATTATTACATATAGTAAATAATCGTAATTCATAGGATATTTAACTTATTGATTACATTTCTAAGTCTTAAAATACCTGCTCCTACAGTAAAAACTTTGTCAAAGTCTGCAGCTATAGCCATTTGTTTATAAAGTTGAGGAGATTGGGCTAGATAAGCATTTCCTTTAAAGTATGACACTGTGAACACATTTGCACCACCTTCGCTTGCAGCAGATATAATTTTTGGTGTATGAATTTCAACAAAACCCTATAAATAAAACATGTAACTATGTAAATCGTTATTAGATAAAATCTTTTTAGTAATTACTTACTTTGCTTGTCAGAATGTCTCTAAATAATTTACATATAGCTGCTTCAACCCTATATATAGCTTGATTCGCTGGAGTTCTTAAATCTAAAACTCTGTTGTCTAATCTAGTGTCTTGATTCACTTTGATATTCAGAGCATTGTCATCTGCTTCTCCCATAGGCCTTGAAGCATCCTCAATTTGTAAAGGTAATTGTGGCTTTGCAGCACTTACCACAAATACTTTTTCAATATGAACCTCTACATCTTTCTGTGTGCATGATTCAATTTTGGAAGGTACACGTTTAACAACTGCTTCTACATCCACAATAGACTCTTTTGTAATGCTGCAAAAATAATATAATAAAATGTCGAACAAAGTTTCAATGTTTACACTTTCAACTTACTTGGATATGAACTTAATCATCTGTTTGCTAATATTTTCATTTACTGCAGCCAATCCTTGGACTGTATACGATTGTTGTCTTAAGACAATAAAGCATTGTTTACCTACAACAAAATATTTTTATAATATGCGTAATGAATTGACCATCAATTTATTTCACACAATATACCTTTGGCACGGCTAGTATGTAAACGCCCTCTTAACCATACAGTTTGATTTTCTAATTCTGGAGTCAAATTTTTAATATCAATAAATTTCCTTTCCACATGTTTTTCTTTACTCTGTATCAATCCTGTGTCCCCATATTTCCCCACTGATACGTCTTCCTCTTGATTTGCTTCTTGTTGTGCTTGCTACATTTGTGGTTTAAAAATATAGTTGTTTTTATATTAAATTATTCACATACTACAAAAATAAGTTTCTTCTTATTCTGTATATTTACAATAATTCTTTAGCTTACAACTTGAGCTTTACGTTCAGCTTTCTTTGCCGCTTTCTCAGCCTCTTTCTGTTGTTTCTTAAGGGCCTTCTTTGAAATTTCATCTCTTGCAAAAAAACGTATCTTTAAAATATGAATTAAAAAACATTCAAAAGAATATCATTTGCCTTACCCTCCTACAGGTGATTCTGCTGGCTTATCTTCTCCCATCTATAAAAATGATGTAATAAAATGTCATAGTGTACGTGTCATAGTGTTATTTTTTACATGAAATATATATATGATATCACGTTAACATATGAATATATGAAATACGTAAATTATACTCTATTACGAACAATTATAGAAAACACATATGGAAATGATTAAAAAGAAGGTTAACCCAATTTCATGGCTTGAAAATTCTATTTTAATTTTACGCACCTTCGTTTCTTTGTGACTAAAATTTCTTTGCTAGAATTCCAAACCTTCTAATCCCCTTTTATCACAAATGAAGAAGAACTATTTAAGATAGTTGTATACTAATTTAAAATTTGCCGGATCTGGGCAATGTACAACTTTAAAGTACGTTCTGAAGTAGTCTGCTCTTTTGCCCTCTCCATAGATCTTTATTCTGACAGACACAAATGTGTTACAGTATGTACTATTTTAAGAACACACTGTATGCATTACTAATTATTTACAAAATTTATAATTACTTTTCAGCGAAAAGAATAATACATTTTATTATCTTCATTTAGAAACAAAGATATATAACAGTATAAATAATAATGCAATTTTCTTTCCTAATAACGAGTGCTATATTTGAGATATAAATATTATTACACAAAATTATTATAAATTCACTTTGTACTTGTAAAAAATAAATTACGAGAAACAAATATTTTTATAGTATCGTACAAAGATAAGATATCTACTATCTTTATACGGATATTTTGTGCTAGAACAATGTATGAACAAATCCTAAAATAATCTTTATGACTCTACTGGTAATATGCAATGAACATATTCTTAGAAAATTATTGTAATTTTGCCATTGGTTCTATTAGTCTAATGCAAAAACATTTCATCAGTATTCTGTATCGGTGATGGGAATAGGATAAGGAATAAATTAAAAAAGACGAGCTCGCATCGCAAGATCTCTTTAAACCTTTAGGTTTTCAATTCAAGAAATTATCATTTTTGCACCATCGTCCGCAGAATCCAATAAAGTTGATAACTGTTCCTCTGGAATTATCGGCGCAGTTTGAATTAACGGCTTTTTATTGATTTTCACCGATGGTTGGGGGTTGGATTGTAATGATTTCACCGCAGATTGCGTAGTTTCATTCCAACTTTTCCAGCTCACTTCTTCTTGACCTGCAAAAACATGAACTCGAGATTTGCGAGCGAGCATCATCGTAATATAGGGTGTATAATGAAAGGGAACCAGTACAGGTACAATAATAGTATGCATCTAATACATCTATTAAATCTTATTGATACTTTTTGTCGATATCTACATAAGTAACCATTTTATGCTTATTGTGTTACATTGCTTATAACGAAAAATGCAAGAGTAAAAAAATTTTACATAGCCTTTACTTCTTACTTTTTAATTTGTCTGATGAATCATCGAATGATGGATCTTGAATATTCAACATAAGACCACTGCCACTAAGATAAATGCGATTTTGAGAGGCAGCAATCTGAAATAAATATCAAATTTATAATTAAATTGTTTAATTAAATTATTAATACTATAAATACAGAAAAATTTGTTATAATTACTGTGCGAGAAATATTCTGCGCTGCTCGAAGTTTTCTCAACTTTAGATAGCCAGGATTTTGGCTAACAGCTAAACCAAGGTGCATAGAAGTTAAGGATATATCTTTCTAAAAATAAAATGTTTAATGAATAATAATCATTTTTCTATGTTTGAAATTTAAAAATTGTTTGTGTTATTATTATTAAAGGATATCATTTTAGCTGCTTCTGCTTCTCCTTCTGCTTGTACAATTTTCTGTTGCCTCTCTTGTTTTGCTCTTTCGACAACAAAAGCTGCTCTTTGTGCTTCTTGTTGAGCTACTTGCTTAGCTTCTACAGCAGCAGTATATTCTTTACCAAAGCTTAGTTCAGTAATAGACACATCATCTAACACTATGTTGAAGTCACGTGCACGCTCTGTTAATTCTTTTCTTACTAAATTTGATACCTGTTGTCTCTGTGTTATAAGCTGAGATGCATTGAACTTAGCCACGACTGACTTTAATACTTCATTACAAATGCTTGGTAGAACCTAAAATATAATTATACCAATAAAAATGAATTTGAACATAATCGTATATTAAAACTCTCACCAACCTTTTCATCGTAATCAAGCCCTAAATTACGATACATTGTAGGTAACGAACTGGCATCAGGCCGGGAAAGTACACGAAGGGAAATGTTAACCATCTGCAGATCTTTAGATCCGGTAGGAGAAGAGATCTTTTTGGGCCTACTTCTAATATCATAAATTATTGGACATTGGAACCATGGAACGCGAAAATGAAGACCTTCGGCAAGAATTTCTTTCTGAATACCTCCTATACGAGAGAATATAATTGCTCTATGTCCAGCCTCCACTGAAATAAAACATGTGTGTTCTTAACTTAGTTGCGTCATTCAATGCGTACATCATACATGTTCGGATATATGAGTTTCTACATTATTATACTAACAGTAGTAATTAAAGATCATTAGTGATATATAAAAATTATATTAACCTGTATACATAGATTTTGCAGCACTATAAACCGCCACGCTTCCTGCTGCAAAGAGCTTAACAGCTAAATTCATTCCATTTGGATTTTTGGACATTCGTGTTATAAAGTCTCCAAGTTTATCTGCCATTGTTAATTATATTATTATATCGTTGAACGAAATTAAAAGTGGATGACTTTTATTAAACTACAATTACGACGTGATCGGAATCAGAATTCACAATGCCGACAGTCTTTGATGAAAAATGGCAGACATCATACTGAGTTTACAATGAAGAAGAAGCATTAGTGAGAGTTTTCATGAATAATAAATTACTTTAAGGGCGATTTGTATGTAAATTAAACACGTTAAAGCAGCATTTGCATGAAATAAATAAAACACTTTTATTTATTCATTTTAGTAAAAATGATGAATTTCTGTTGTTATAACTACTTTTATTTTATTTGCGTATAGGTTCATTAAAAATTTGAGAGTTCTATTTCAACTGTAATGACATATGTTGATATGACAGTATGTTTGATATGTTAGATGAATTCTGGGATTATGTACTTTGTTTTATCTCTGCGAGCTAGCTAATATTAAAAATTAATTTTTGTAGAAATCTTTGCAACGACTTAAATCATTTGGCGATAACAAAGTTACTCGCTATCTATAAAGTGTGTTTATATATCCTGCAGACGAAAATACTAAGCAATCAGGAAAAACATGGCGCTGTGCTATACAAGGTAGTGAAATGTCGCTTAATATTTGTATTTTGTTTCACGATACTTAAGAAGATTTATGATGTAATTGATTCTTTTAGGCTGCTTTGCCGACGAAGCATCGATCTCCGAAATTTCCGGAGTTTATACACCTGCAGGTGACATATTACATAATATATAACCCTTTCAGTTCATTTCGGTATGAATAGAGTAGTTAAATTAGTATTATTTTATATTTCTAAGCAACAGAAATCGGTCAGTTTTTACTGAATTTCAAATAGTTCAACGATTAATATTTATAATTTCTTTTTAATATTATATGATCTGTATGTATGAATGTTAATAGTTGTTGAAATAAATAATTTAGCCCGCTTAATGTTGCTGTGTCAAAACCTCTGTGTTCTGGATCTGCGATATGCGAGTCTCACGATGACAAAAATATACGTCTTAAACGGCCTATGTCACCACATTTGACCATTTACCAAATTCAATTAACAGCATTCTTGTCAATAACGCATCGCACAACAGGGATGATATTATCTAGTTATGCTATGTTACTTGGTTTAGGTAAGATTATGATTCTTTTACTTGATAATTACAGATGTGATAAGTATGTACTGAGAATATGTAATCTGTAATTGTAGGAACGTTGCTTATACCTGGAGGTATTCCATGTCTTATAGAAATGACTCAAGATTTAGGTTTGTCTTCTGCTGTTCTTTTCTTGGGGAAAACTGCCCTGGCTCTCCCTGCTACATTTCATACAGTTAACGGATTCCGTCACTTGGTAAAATAGCAGTTGGATGTCTTTTATAATTAAGCATTTTGTTTAATAATTAATTCTTAACCGCGAGCATGAGATACTGTATAAATTTTCATTGGCAATATTTTGCAGGCCTGGGATATGGGAAAGTTTCTTACTATTAAAGAGGTATACAGCACTGGTTATGCAGTATCTGCATTATCAGTAATTTCTGCTATTGTACTTGCTGCATTATAAGTTCAAGTAATATCATTACTTTCAGTTGTGATACAATTTTCATTGTAAATTATCAGTATGAGCAGACTGCGTCATCTAATTTGTAAAATCTATTAAATCTAGAATAAAAAATTTTGTTAGACTGTTCTATTAATTATAAATTAATTAACACAATCTAGAAAATGTATAATTTATTTAAAAAAACCTATGTAATGTTTGAATAATTATAGTCTTAGTACATTTAAATATATCAATAAATATATCACACAAAACCCTCGAGAGATGAATCAATGAATTTTTTGTAAATTGCCATAAATCGAGCAACGAATGCCTCTAAATGAAAAATAGCTTTTGATCCCCTATGCATTTTATGTTCATATTCTGCTGCAACCGTTGCAATCTCAATTTTTAATTGAAGATCACAATTTTTAATGCATTCTTGCAGAAGCCCCTTAAATATTAAGTCCGTTGGTATAGCATGCGTCAATAGCTCATACAGTCTATTTCGTATTTCCAATAGTTTTTTGGGACTTTGTTCACTGACCATCATGTTAGCAGTATTTCTAATGTATACTTGCCAATCTGGTTCTGTAATTATTTGGTCTGCAGTAAATGGGTATCTGAAACCAAGTAATTTAGATTCAAAGTCTTTTATTATAGTATTTAACAGTTGCTCTGTAAATCTAAGCACACTTACTGTTCAACTTTACAAGCTTCAAGCATCAGTATAGCTCGTCTTAGATTCCTGCCACTAGCATCAGCCAATCTAACAGCTAGTTCATCTGGCAGAGTTAAGCCTTCACGTTTACAAACTAAATGCAAAATACTTTTTATGTCTGATATCGATGGAGCTGGTACTCTAATTCCTAAACATCTAGATTTTATAGCTGGTAAAACTTTAGATGTTGAATTCGCACAAAGTATCAATCTACATGTAGCAACATATTTTTCCATTGTTCTTCTAAGTGCATGTTGCGCATCCTTTGTGAGTTGATCTACATTTGTCAAAAGTACCACTGGAATAAACTAGAGTTAAGTGAATCTCCAAAAAAAATTTAAATAATAATAAACTATAATCGGTGATGATTTAAGATACCTTTAAAGTCTCTTTGTCCGCTTGAATCTATTTGATGGGTCTGAGCAGTTGTTTTTACTAAGTCCATGACAACTACTCGATCATATATACCTACATCACTAGGATTCACTTCTATATGATAATTGCTGCTTATTGTTGTTATTTCTAATTTCTTTTTGGATGGTGTCTGAAGATTATTTTCATAAAAACATATAAAATCAAATTTTTTCAAACTGGAAAAGAAGATAAATAAGAAATGAATATACTTCAAAATTCATAGTCTCCATCCTCAATCTTTCAGCTCCACTTCCATATAATTCTTTTAAAACACACAATATACGAGTCTTTTTTCCTGCACCGGGTGGGCCGTATACTAACAAATGTGGAAAATCTCCTTTCTGTACCTGTAAATTACACATTAAAATTAACATGAAAATTCAATAATCACATACGTAATAGCATAACAAATAATGGCGCCTTTTTAGATAACCTCATTGTCAATTCACGTATACACGAATAAACAGAATTACCATATTTTTTAAATATTCTGCTTGCTCCTTGTGATAATCTAATTTTCCCAGCGTTGTTGGCCGATATTTATCTACCCAAAGACTCATTTTCGTTTAAATTGTTGTAGAAATGCAACGTTACTGAAATAAGTTACTTGCTCCTTAAACGATTTCACCCATATATATAATTATGAATTATCACATCACACATACAATATCACATTTATTTACTGAATACATGTACTTATATAATATAGAATTAAACAATGTTCATTTAATTGTTTCTATATGAGACAGATATGAAACAAATGTTAATACCGGCAACTTATATTATCCAGAAGTAAATATAACTTCAAAAGCGCGCGAAAATGTAGATTATAGCGCTTGATTAATTTTTTGTTTTTAAATATTTCAATAATATATAGTAAATATTTTATTTGACTTCTCAACAAATAAAATTAGTTTAATGACTGGGACACATGCGTAATTTTATTCGATCTTGACTTTTATTTGTATATTCAATTATACAATAAGTGCTTGCTTCTTCATCAAAAAACTAACACACTTTGGTAGATACAATAAATCATTGTACGAAATATTAGTATTATTCATAACAAAATTATTACACACTAAGAAGTACCATCAATTCTATATAAAAATGTAATTATACACAAAATAATCTGAATTATTAGATTTTCAAAATTATTACTAATGATAATGGCAGTTTGTGGATATGGATCTAAAATGCATGCTGATAATGAATGTATAGAAGAATGAAAATTACTAGATAGATCTATTATATAAAATTAATATAAAGTTTACTTCGATTAACGGACTCAATTTGACCTATTATATAAAGAGCTTGCTTTTGGAATGAAAGAAGATAGCTTCTTATCTATTTAAAAATATGAATAATGCAAACTAGAATGTTTCGATAATGTCTTTCAGACTTCTTTATCACATACTTTCAACGATATGTACAAGATACATATAGTAAACGTACTACATTCGTATTCTAACTACATAGTGCACCAGTATGTAGATGCGTTTAATTCACAGAATCATTTTGATTATAGAAAATATAGAATATTATTTTGAGAAAGTATTTCGTGCTGCCGGCAACAATTTCTAAGTACATTTTTTAAAACCGTACAATGGAAGAGCGTTGTACGGTTTACAGTTTTTAATACTTTGGATAAATGTATTGTCTGGTATCTATAATCCTTCATATACGAGAATAATATTTAAAATGATTACTATTTGACGCTTACATCTAAGTTTGCTGAAAATTATATGGCCAGTGGATGAAATGAACGACAATAATAAATTGTGTTCACAAAGAATACAAAAGGAAAATACTTTCTTTGCTTTTAACATTCTTAATAAATGTTCACCCATCTCATAAAAATCTCATAACAACTTTCAAACTATATTTGCACAATCTAATCCTCCAGTTATCCTTTGCAATTCCTTATTTTAATGTGGTTACATTTGGAGGAAGTCTTCATTTCCTCTTTCACTTGAAGAGGATATGACTTCACATGGAGTGGGTGAGTTTCAACCACCTTGTTTCGATCATGAATTTTCTACAGATAAAATTCAAGCAGTCACTGATAATGAAATCAACGAATTTAGGCAGCTACTCAAGTGACGATACACATAATCTCCCTAACATCTCATAAACTTTAAGTAGACATTTTGGTTTCTAATGCACAGGAATCTAAAGAAATGAATTCAGTCATTTATAATTCTGTCATGTAAATTCAGGAGCCAATTTCAGCCGAATAAAAATCTCAACCACAATCTAAATAGATTTTTTTTGCGCGGATATGAGCACATATTCTTTACACGAAATATTAAAGGAATAAAAGTTGTTATGTTTGACTTATTGAAATACATTGATGTAATGTACATTTATACCCAAACACCGTGTGGATTTTTGCTGGTGGGTACTGCAGTCTCTAATTGCCTCGGGGAACCTATCATTTTCCGTGTACTACCCGGCTTATGAGCACCTATGTTATAAGTTATTTTAAAACATATTAGTAAGCGAATACATTTATCATTTGTTTTTACAATTAAATTTATGTACCTTCTAATAACGATTTGACTTGTTCATCTTGGCAAGCAACAGCCAGACTTTGTAAATTAGCTTCCTTCATATCAGCTACCAATCGTTCTACTTGCAATTTCTTTTCAACAATGGCAGATTCTAGACTCACTACTTCAAGCTTCAATGACTCTGCACACTGTGAAGCTAACTCAGCAGATCGTTTGGCTTGTTCCACCTCATTTTGAAGATGCTCAACTTCGCTAATTATTTTACGTTCCATTATTTGCCTTTCATCGGTTTCACGACTTATGTTATGCTGTTCTATGGCGAGTTCCTCCATGACTAATCTACAATGAGGAGAAAAGACATTCATGCTATATTGTATAACTCATAATGACATATAATGTATAACATAAAAGCATATTTATAATTTATGTTTTTACCTGATTTTATTTTTACACTGAAGCAACTCCGTTTCACAGTTTGCTAATTTTGATCTTAATAAAGTAATTTCTGACTTTAGTGTTTTTTCTTGTTGTCTAACTATTTCGCTTTCCTCTTCTACACGTGCTAGTTCTTTCAACTATAAAAATAGTGAGTGTTAGTACATATATGATATTAATAAAATATATTTCAATACATCTAAGAAATATACCTGCTCTTCGATAAGACGACCAGTAGATTCCATGCGGGTTACTTCCTGGGAAATATAATCCATTTGATGCATCTGCTTTCTATTTTTAGTTTCCCAATATAATATTTCAGCGTCAAACTGTGAAAGTAACATATTCAATATATTTTACCACTCCATTTTTCCACCACATAGAAGATTTTTTTCATACTTTTGTAAGTTCCGCTTGTTGTGCATTAATGGTATCACGTTGCTTATTGACTAGCCTAATAAGTTCAACATATCGTTGAGTGTAAGCAACAGTGACCATATTTTGGGCTTGACCAGATAACTGATTTACAGACTGAGTCTGTCCTTTCGTATCCTGGAATTCCTAAACACACAAAATAGATGAAGAGTTTGTATTTTGAGAGTATGTATAGATGTACAAAAAATCTTTTTCATAGAACCTGAATGAGATTTCTCTTCAGTTTAACAGAATTACTAGAAGACGGTTGATCCTCCTTGTGAACATGAGGACTTCCACTATTTGTACTAGATTGAAACTGTGATCTTCCCGGACTATTTAAATTAGGTGGTGGCGGATCCCTATAGGGGGGTAAAGTTCTTAAAGGCGGAGAACCAGGTCCTGGAGGATCCCTATAAGGTGGAACTTCGCGCACTTTCTTCTGTGATACATGAGTATTACTTTCACTGCTGCTGGCACGAGTGGGAGACTGTGCTGGTTTTTGTATATTTTTTCTTATGCTCAATTCCTTATTTTTTAAATGAGGTGTAGGTTGAACTATGGCAACATTTTCCATCTGAATCTAAAGTATAGCAAAATATGAGTTAGAAATTAAACAAAATTATTCAACATCTTTTTAAATATTTAAGGTAATATGCAAATCATTTACTTCTGTATTATTCTCCATCATATTTCCATGCAATCCTCCAAATGTTAATGATTTTCTGGTATCACGATTTCTATCAAGACATCCTTGGAAATCATCAAATTCAGAGTTTAAAGTTGTAGTGGCATTCTTGGTATCATCCTGTCCACCAGTAGGCGTAGTGGCATGCTCTGAAGCAGAGCTAACCACTCCGTTTGATCGTGGACCATGATTCAAACGTGTGCCCAATGAACTAGGAGCTTTATTGCTATCCGGTGTTGAGCGTCTTAATATAAGCTGTACTTCTGATGAATATTCCCCCCACTTCATTAAAATCTTGTAAAAGAAAATAATTATTTATTATAAGACCAATAATTACTTTCTTAATATTTCATTTGTGGGTATATTATACTTATTTTCACTGTTGGCAATGGATAGTTTTAATATCCTTTATAGCAATAATTAGATTCTATCCATGAGAATTATAATAGTCCCACAGAGAAAGGATGAGGAATTAATTATATGTGTTAATACCTTTAACGGATTGTCATATGGAGCTAAAAGACGCTCGTTTGTTCTCCATCTTTCTACCAAAGTGAATCTACCTGTTTGTCCTGTAGCATGAGCAAGAGCATACACTATGTCCTGAAAATTAATTTTTGATTATACACTATTTACTGCAGCCAAATATTCACAAAATATTTACATAAATCATACCAACCTGACATGTAGTGGTTTCTGTAACACCACAAACAATACGCTGTATGCCTTCTACCCATACTTTCAGCTCCATAACGTCACCAATTTATAAACATAAGATTAAGCTTTCGCATCGCAAAATCGTGATACTCAAAACTAACAAACCATTTATCGAATTCGAATTTAAGTGATACCGTCTACAAGAACGATTTTTGCGCAGAGAAAATTATCGATTCGACACGCGTCTATCCAACGATTGTTTTTAAATGTTGTTGGCCATCGATTCTTTCAAAATCTTAATTAATAACCCGACAAAATCCGTTTTCTTTAACCTGTAACGTATAATTATCAAAATGACAGATTTACGTCCATGATAACGCAGAAGACAGGCGTACACTTTTCTCTAACTCTCTGTGATAGCAATGTTACGCTACTTTGTCAAAGCGTCATGCTTCTGTAATTATAGATATTGTGTGCGTGGAACGAATGCAATTTCGCTGCACATCTTCTTTTAGGCTTTTTATACATGCGAATACTGTTTATTTCATTCTTTATAATAATGTGGAATTAAGAAGAATCAGCCGATGTTAATTGTTTTCCACTCCACTAGGCCATGCACGTCTCCATTTGAAACGAGAGCTCTCTCTTATGCCTGGATATTCAATGGTACGTAAAACATGTGTGGTTCTTCGGCCTGCGGATTTTAAACTGGTCAGACAAATTGTACAGTAATTTTATCCGAAGCACAGACGAGGTACAAGGATAGACATTGCAGCTTACGGGACTTCGTGTCACATGTCCTGAATTACCGACCGTGTACAATATTAGAGAATTTGCTCTGCCCTCTACGCCTAGAGAACGGTGAATAGGAAAAGTACATCAAGCAAAATCATCGGAGTTGATTAAGCAGTAAATATGTTAAACCAGCATACAAACGTATCCGTTACATTGTTAAAAATCCTGAAGAAGGATTAGTATTTTGAAGTTTGAAAATTTGATGCTTTTCAACGTACAAACTTTCAAAATAAACCATATAAAATTGATTATACTCTTTCGCCTGGACAGAATAAAATCCGGAATAATTAGAGGAAAGGATTGAATCAATTTTATTCACGTCTATCGAACAATTCCTAAATTTTCAATTCCAAATGTAAACAGTAAACATATACGTAACGCCATCTACGTTAGCATGCTCGAACTAAACACTAGTAATTAATACTAGAGAATCTTACTAGATGGCTGCACCGTTCGGTTGATTGAAAAATTGCGTAGTTATATTATGAGACTAATTATAATGCAAGGTACATGTCACTCGTGCTATTTACAACATAATGAGGATCAAGGCTCGAAAAGTTATCCAGTCAACGGATTAATCTAAATTTATAACGAGGAACAAAGAAGTGCGCAAGCGTGCCAAACACTTTGAATGGCTCGATGACGTAACAGTATGTCGGCATAATTTCATGTACGCATTAACGTTATCAAAATCAGGAGGGAAAGAAAACAACGAATCGACGATGTAATTTTTATTAGAATGAAGTTGCGTAACAAACAGGTTGCAAATAAAATGCATTACTCAACGATCCGAAGGTATTTCGAATCAGGTCCTCAACAAGAACAACAAAAAGCGTCGACACGGTATGTACAATGGTTCATCGAAACTCCCGCCATTCACTCTCGCGCTTCCTTATAAATACATTACGCGCCCTCTAGTACATTTTGTATAAGTTATACGCATAGAAATAGATGAATATTTATATGGATAATGTTTGAAAATAGTCTGACAACGAGGCGGGACGAATCAGTAGCGATTTATAATTTGTTGGATCCAATCGAGATAGTAGGAGACACGGGAATAGACACCTGGAACGCCCGCCTGCCCACACCCGATACCCCAAGACACGATTCCCGCCAACTGCCAGCGGCCATGTCGTTCGCAGACCATTGGACCACCGCCGTCGCCTTTGCAAGCGTCCTTTCCTTCCTCTCCCCCAGCACAAATGAATCCTGGGTGAAGATTGAATCCTGGACCTAGCCTCGTCCTACGCATCTGGTGCTCGCAAAGCTGGTTGCTGACCACCGGTACGTCCACTTCCTTCAGAATATTCTGGTACTTGCCAAAATCACCGAATGCGTCCTTGCCCCAACCAGTTGTCCAACATCTGTCGCAATGAATCATTGTTCTTTACTAATAGGACCAACTGATTGTTATGGATATCATAACACACATGGAGAACAGATGCTCTAGGTAAGAATCACCGTTGATGATAATAGAAGTTCATCGATAGACTTCTTGTTAACCGTTCGTTAACGAGTCTAATCGTTATAGGTAATTTTTTTATGATTCAGTGGATTATCAATGATAGACGATTAACACTAGAACCAATCACTTAACACGTTGAATGCCGCACGAATTTGTAAAGCGAAATACACAAAATGGAAGAAATATAATATTCAATCGCTTGATCGAATTGCGTTATTATTGTTATGTTTATTAGAAATGTTTCCGAATAATCGTCGTTTAATTGAGTGAACTATAGAAAATTGAATTTGGTTAGGAGTCACCGGTGACCATGGCATTCAACGCGTTAAACTGATTTTTGCAAATTTCTCTATAAAAACCATAAGCGTGCGTTTACTAAGATTTCAATTGAGTTGCATCTCAGTTTTTCCATTACTGAATTCGTTAATAATTGTTCGTAGAAGTATCTGTACCTTTTCAGTAATTGCAAAAGAGGAAATCAGAAATAAGTCTTTTTGACCCATCTGGTAGTTCTAGTGTTAAATAACCTGCGACAGGTGAAGCGTTGATAAATGGGACGTCAGGCACGATTCGCCTGTTGTCGAAGGCTGATAAGTTGGAAATAGACGGTTTGAAATAGTCATACCGTGCGGATGCTGTAAATAGGCAACGAACGACCACGTGTTCTATTCCGCCGACACAATTAGAAGGAAACGAAGACCATGGGAACTCACCTGCTCTTCGCGAAGTCGTCACGTTTGTCCGGTAAACAAGCAGGGCTGATGTGCGGGTTCTTCTGGAAGTCGACCTCGTGATCTATCCGCAGTATAGCGATGTCGTTGTACAGGGTGCCAGCGTAGAATTCAGGGTGCACGTTGATGTTGGCCACGTCGCGCTCTATGTACGGATAAAATTCAACGTCGTGGTTCACGTCCCATTCACCGAGACGGACGCGAAGGTCGCGGGCTGCGTACGTTTTCACGCAATGCGCCGCCGTCAGGATGTGCCTCGGAGAGATCAGCGTACCGCCGCAAACGTAGACGCTCTCGGTCGGGTCCTTCTTCAAGATAGCGACTTGCCACGGGTATTCACCTGTAAATTACAAAACGGTCCAGATGTTCACGCGTGCTTAGCTCTTTGCACTCGAGAGGCGACGCTGAGTCGTCATTTTATTCACCACAGCAAAACTGTGAGATTTAAAATTGTTGAATTTTAATTCAATTTAATTCGATTCTTTTTAACCTTAATTAAGTCCTTTAACCTACGCGAGCTTTCTCTTTGCCTGAATTGTAAATAATATCATTCATAATCTATTAGAAGATAACGAATATTTATACTGAAAATTTCTGTCGAGTGCAAAGGGTTAACCCTTTCGCTATTATGGATCCATGAACGTATTTTTGTTATTGTTTATGTTGTCTTAACTTTTGGCTCCATTTTTGTGAGTATAGACTCCCAAAGCCAAAAAGTTAAGACAATATAAACAATAAGAAAGATACGTTCATGGAAAAATTAAAAGCACATTGTTTTGAACACATTTTGCTTCGAAAAGCAGCGTCACAACGGCGTTTTTGAGACAAAAGGGCCCCGAATGCTGAAGACTGCGCGCGCTTAACACTAGAACTGCCAGATGGGTCAAAATGATTCGTTCCTCATATATTCTTTCATAACAATAGAAAGTATACAAATGCTTCTTCAAGAAACGATTAAAATAGTTGATTGATTAACATACAAATTAAAATATAACTTAACTGAAATCTTAATCACTTCTACGGTTTCTCTAAAAGAATGTTCAAAAATCAGTTCAACTGCTCGGTAGTTGTAGTGTTAACGTTCCCACTTTTGTTACGGCGCTCCGTTCTACACGAGAGACTTCGCGGCGAAGCCGTAGCGAAAGGGTTAAGACTAAACAGAAGACCTAGCACCAGGCCTACCAACTTTCCGCGCACACGATTGAGTCGAAAACCTACCGAACTCCGCGTCACCGTCCACGTTCACAGGCGTCTTGATGCGTCCATTGATGCCCTGCGTGTACCGGGTGCCGCATTGTCCCGGCCTCGGTTTCATGAGCTGTGGCCTCCTGCGACAGCAAACGAATCCGGGACCGCAGGCTCGCGGAGCGCCAGGAATGAACTGTCTCTGTGGAGAAAGCAAACGACATTTCGTTGGGCGACGAGCTCGATGCATCGAAGAATCGCGACGTCTTACGGACAAGTGCGCAGAGTCGCCTGAACCGGCAGGTTCTAGCGAGAGGAACGCCTGACGAGCCTCCGTACTCTCCGTGACTGGCTGGAGCTTCGTCGATCCGACGACTCTCCGTTGCCTGACACTTACCTCGATCGTCTGGTTGGCGAACCGCAGCTGATCCAGCTGCGATCGCGCGTCGCGCTTTCTTCTGCTTGGGAACGATACCTTGCCAGAGGTTCCGGTGCTCGGGGCTGTCCCCTCGAGCTTCCGCTCGTCGACGCGCTCATCACTGTCGCGCGCGATCTCCGCGTTGGACCGCGCTTCGCCTTGATACCTGGATCGGTCACCGAGCGACCGATCCTCGTAATCGTAATCGTAATCGTCACGATAGTAATCGGAATAGTCCGCGGTCAGGTGAGGGGGTGGTTCGCGATGATATACGGGACTGTGGACAGGGTAGGGCGGTTTCGCGTAATGATTCTCGTAATATACGCTCGGCTTCGGAGGGTAGTGGTAGTGGGGCGCGTAATCGGGCCCGTAATGCCCGTAATGCCCGTACTGGCCGTGGATCGCCTGCTTCTTGTACGCTAGGAGGTCACCGAGTTTCTGGACGATGTGCCGATTAGGCGTCACGTGGAGATTTACAAACGGTTTTACCACTTTGTCGCCGTACTCGTCTTTGCTGAATTGCACGGCTAGTAGAGGGTTCACGGAAACCAGGCCTAAATTAAGGCCCTGCCCGGCCAGACCCGGCCCGTAACCGCCGTACGGGTTTACCAAGGGATTGCCACCGTAAGGATTGATCGGGTACGGGCCGCCGGTTTGCGGTAGACCGAAACTGATCCCCCAGGTTGGCTTCAAGTTTAATTTCGACGAGTCCAGATCGGTAGCGTCGAGTCTCTGCAACCAGGGAGCCGAACGGGCACGCAGATAGAGACATCCCAGAGTCCGTAATTCGCGTCTTCGCCGACCGAACGCGGTGCTACCGGAAATCAAGCTATCGCAGGAAGATCGACGTCGCGAAGGCGTCTATCCCGAACGGTCTTACAACGGTAAATCAAAAGTCTTCGTCTTACCCCTTCTCCGTTAGCCTTCTTCCTGCCCTCGATGCTCGCGTCCTCGTCTGTCGCCGCCCTCTTGCTCCTAGTCTGCGTCTCAGCCACGGTTCCGTTCTGCTCCAGCCCGGACGTCTCCGTCGCGTTCTCAGCTTCGATGTTCTTGTTCAAGTGGCGTGGATCGATGGCCAAGTACAGATCGTCCTTGCGCCCGGCGTGCTCGGACGCCGCGCACTGCTCGTAGGGCACGCACACGCAGTCCGGAGGGTAGTTCGAAGAGAAATCGTTCCCGAAATCGTTTTCGTTCTCGTTCTGGTGGTAGTAGTTGTTCAGGTTGCTCGGCGAGCCGAGCGTGAAATCATTAACGCCGGAGTTGATCGTGTTCTGGGAAAGGTAGTTGCTTTGCCCGTAGTACTTGCCAGCCTTCTGCCCGTCCGATTTCCCATAGGTGAAATCTCGCGGCGGTTTCTCGTAGGTAGGATACCGATCGGCGTAGTTGTTCGCCGACGCGGAACCACCGGAACCGCCGAAAACGGCTGGTCCGTTCGCGTCGTTGGCGCTGGGCGCTTTCACCTTGAACGCTTTCTTGTAGTCATCCGAGTCCTGAAAACCGCCGGCGTACACTTGTCCAGCTGCTGGTGGGTCGTAACTGGTCCCTGCCGATCCGTAACCGATCGAATGGCTGCCGACGAACCCGCCGTTGCCTGGTCCGCCCTCCGAGTGATGATAGTGATGATGCACGTGCTGCTGAACCGCGTCCGACACCGCCGACAAGCCGGGCCTCAATGCGATCTGTTTCTTGTCAATGTACCGATCGTTGCTGTCGAAGTCGAAGCCCTCGGCTATGGGGCCGGCTGACTCGTAGATCGGCTTCGAAGCCGCGTACGACGGAATAGGGGGTCCGGGTTTCTTGAAGCTAGGGTAGGAGCTGATGATTCCGCCGGGTAGAGAGCCAGGGAAATGAGAGACCGATGGCGGTGGCACGGGCCCACCTCCAATTCCGTACACGATGTCAGAGGTCAAGCCGGGGGGACCGAAGCTACCGGAGCCTGATAGAACCGGTGGCCCGGGCTTAGGCGGTCCGTACGGTCTCTTCACCGGAATCGCTGGCAACGGTCTGCCCACTGGCTTTATGGTCACCGGTTGCGCGTAGATGATGTCCTGAGGGTGGATTCCGCGGTGGGGAGAGTAGTATGGCCTTCGTCCTTCGATGTTCTCGCACTGGGGATAAAAAGATCGTCGTAGAGATGCGCTCTTTCTTTGTTGATCAGCGGGTTTCGCGTTTTAACATGTTGAACGCTGCACGATTTCATAGAGCAACATACACGAATTGGAAAAAATAATATTAAATCATTTGATTGAATCGCGTTACTATTATTGAGTGCTCATCTTGCTCAACATCGCCGCATTAGGTAGCATTGTTCGTAATATACTATAGTAATTCGATTTGGTTGCGGGTCGAATTCTAATTCAACAATTATATATTCTGTTAGTCATATATTATATAAATGTGAGTATTCTATATTGATCTAATTTAGTTCAATTCATTGTTTTGACGGTATTAATATATTTGTCTAGAAACGCGCGGTGACACAATATTCTGCCGTGGCCATGGGGTTAAGGCGTACTCACGTTCATCAGTCCCAGGTTGCACAGTTTGTCCCTGATGAAGGATCGAGCGACCGTGTCGTTGCCCAACTCCAGAGCGTTCTTCACGTTGGGATCGGCGTAAACTTGATCGAAACCCTCGATGTTGCGACCCTGACGGTTCGACACTAGGATATCTTCTACCACAGCTTCCACCTAGGTGGAGATGTTATTTAGAGGCAAATTCAAGGTCTGCTTTCAACACTGGGTTCACGTCAATTTAACGCGTTAGAATTCTATGAACATTAATCGGTAAGTGTCTACGTTGATTCTGATCTAATTTCGAAGATCTTAGTTAAGGAATGTCAATTTTTCTATGGACCATGGAACAAATTGTACGATAACCGTCCGCCGGCCTAGCGTTAAGACTGATAACAGAGATCTGTTTACCGAGCGTTGCTCTTTCCGCTCATCGTCGAAGAAGTCCGTATTCTGAACCGTGCTTGGAATGGCTCTCTTCTCTGTCCCTTGTTCTTGCAGGCTGTCCGCTGATTCCGCGCTATCGGAACTCTCGGGATTTTGCCAGGACCATTGGGGCGCCGTTTCCACTGACACTTGCGTCGCGATGGTGCCAGCGGCCACGCCGCAGCACACTATCAAAATCGCCCACAATCTCATCCTGCAACGAATCATTCAGTTGTACGTTTTTGCAACAGACGGAATCACGGTACTGCGATTTTAACTCTTTGCGGACGAAGATTCTTTGAAATATAAACCTTCAGCAGATGAAGCTAAATTATATATCGATTGCTTAAGCAATAGGACAAAAAGGAAACTGCATGCTGATTTCTTACTGTTCGAGTAATTAACACGTTGACTACCACGAAAACCTTTTATGTATCGCTTATTCTTTTGTAGCAAAGATAAAGAGAAACATTTACACTGTTATCTAGTTATTTATGCTATAAAGTATTTTCATTCGACATTAGTTGTCTGACGAATTATAATTATTGTCAAGTAATTTGGAAACTCCGGTCATCGACTTAGTCTTCCAAAAGCAAAGATTCCATCTCGATTTCATCTCGACATTCGTCCACAACGGGTTAATAATATTCATTCGTTCTCAGGTTTTATCAACCGCGATGCAGGATATTAGGAAAACCAGACCGGTCGGAGAACACTGAAGAACTGTCGTGGGTTTTAAAAAGAAATCCGAGTCCATACGTTACGACGGTACCTCCGAGAAAAGGATCATTCGTCACGCAAAATGTAAACGCGGTCGGTTGACCGAGAAATCGAGCGACCAACGAAAGCGAGAGGATGCCGGGAGAAAGTCGTCGTAGCTGGCCTTAGCGTGGCCTCCGCTTCTTATGTTCATCCCACGCGCCCCTTTCTTCGAGGCCGCTCTTTCGAAAATTTTCGAACCCGGTGAAAGTTGTTGCGTAATAATCACGGGACCCGGGCGAAACGTTTCCCGGTCCTTTCTTTGTTCTCTTCGACGATCGGAAAACACGAACAGGGCATAAATCGCGTAAAAACGCGAGAGTGTCGAGCGGGGTACCCGAAGAAGAGGAAAACTATTAATAAGAAGTTGTGAAGGGGTGAAAGAAGATCGAAAAAGGGGAACTTCTTGTAGGGAAATTCTGCTGGTGGAAAACTCACCTTAGAGCTTGAAACGCGTCGAGGTCCGGTTCGCGTCCCGATACGAAATTTCTCCGCGTAAACGATCTCTGTAATGAACGGCTGCCGGCGAACGTCTGCGATGCGTCGAGGAGTTTCGCTCTTTAACCAAACACTTTCTCCGTGAACGAGGTTACACTGCGCGTTCCCCGGTGCCATTCCTATCTTATATAGACGTCCCTTTTCGTGATGCTGGAACGGTTGTACGAAACGACGGTGGGGTTACATTCGTGACTCACCGTGCGGCCCGCCGGACATCCGTCTCGAATAGATTCTTCGAAGCGCATCGTGTTCCCGCCGAATGTGTCCGTTTGCCAAACCGCGTCGATCGTGTCACGGATCGATTCTGCACCCAGCTCGCGTCCCTCCGATCGCAATAGTAGAAACACATCCGTGTCAGCCCATTCTTTCCATTGATCGCATCCATCGATCGCCTTCGCATGTAGATCACACTCGGTCGTTCGAGTAGGTTCAAAGTAAGAAGGGGCTTCGTTCTGAAGATCTGCTTCCTTCGCGGTCTAGATCTTTCAATGGTCTTGAAAGGTCTGAATATCTTTGCTTTTAACCCTTCGCACTCGAGAAGTGATTTTACCATTTGAATAGATGTAACAAAATTACAAAGTGTTATATATAATATCAACTCTTATATAACGCACCAGTACGTGAAATATTTATATAAAATAGCTTTGTTTCTTAATTTACGTATGCTTTCTCATTAATGCGTTTCAAACAGTGTCGCCCATGTCTCATCGGAAAGTGTCGAATGTTTCTAGTGAAAAGCTTCCGAGTGCAAAGGGTTAATTGTAGCTTTGTGTATAAATTAAACCTTTGCGGACGAACGTCGACAATTCGGCGAGGTCAGATTTTCATATTTGGAACAGTACGTAGCGAACGAATAATCTAATTATTCAAACAACAAGAGACCAGTACGTAGTTTCCTTATTTTTCTTATTTATGCGATCGATATAGAATTTTGCTTCGGTTGCTAAAGGTTTTATATATTTCAAAGAATCTTCGTCCCGAAGGGTTAAGTTACCGCGCATTGTTATTCAGTTACGAATAACTCTACCAGTTTTAATTGGAAACTTCAATTCCTCGTTTCTTCGAGCCCTTTAACCAGTTAACCGTGGAACTTAATAAAAATGAAAAAATAAAATCGAAAAATGGAGCGTGTATTCGTCGAACGCTGGACGAATGCACGTAGAGTATATTTTAATGAAAGATGAAAGCGAAATAAAGAAGAATTACATGTTATGCGAAAAAATAAAGAATTCATCGCTGAAAGAATTAGTATCATGTCAAGCTTTACGATGACGTGTATACTCGTCAAACACAGTTAACTGGTTAATAACGTTTTCCCACTTGAGTTTCCCACCGATGGAACCTTTGCTCTTTCATCTACGCGCAATTCAAAGCGACCAGAATGTCACGAATGAAAAGAGCGTCGCCATAGGCAGGTTGACAATAGAATTTATTCGTTGATCGATCGCTCCACGATTGGGACATCCAAAAATGGATGACTCGTCCGTCAGCTACGTAGGTGCGTGCGGACGTACGCAAGCAAATTGTGTAATCCGGGCTTTTCGTTAATAGGGTTACGCAACGAACACTAAGAAACATCGTAGAACCATCATACGGGCGTGTTTCTCCAAAGAAGTACGATTCTTAGAAGACAGCGGACACTTTCTAGGTCTCGATCACCGGGACTAACACGCGGGACCTTTTCGCGACCAAGAAACTCCTCTTTCAGCGATGTTCAGCTTAACAAGACTCGCGGCAGGTTCTAACCCAGGTAAGATCTATTTGCAGACACGACATTTGCAGTTGCACCGTCAGCATGGTCAATGGATTCTCTATCTTTCCACAGATTCATATTAGCCCACGTCGATCTAGAGAAATCGGACGGCGGAACGTAGCAAGTAGAGCTTCACGTGTTCGAGGAATGGCTTTAATAGAGTGAAAATGAAGTAACGCTGCAGTGTTCGGTCTGAAGAGATTTCTATCGGCTATAAATGCACAGAGATACGTTGTCTAGCGATTAGCATAGGAGACGCCGGGAGCCGGCCCGCCGTAAGAAAGTTTCTCCGTCGTGTCCGCGGTGTCGGATGGGGAAAGTGATCCGCCGATTGTTCCAAGTTCGAAGCCTTTTTCCGATTTTGGACGCGGTCGAAAGCTTCGTCTCCAAACTAGCCGCGGAAGACGAAACAGACAGACGTCTTTTTCGCGAATCCGTCGATCTTTCTTTCTCCTTCCAGTTCCGGGAGAAAGTGTTCCTTCGCGTTCACGAAAACTTGACTCCGATCCGCGAATGCGAGCGAAAAGGATCGTCTGCCGTCATTGTCTTGGTAGCGAGCCAACTGATTCCGTAAAGGCGTCGACCAATTAACACCTTGCACTCCGGAGGCGCCTCTCAGTCGCCAATAATTGATTTGACACAGCTAAATTGTAAAGTTTGAGGTTTAATATTCAACTTTGTATAATGCGTTAATATGAAATATTGAAAGAAAGTAGTTTCCTTCCTCAATGTATGCGCGACTTCTTGTCAAATCAATTTTGGAGAATCTCAACTGCAGTTCATTAGGAAATATTGAGTATTTCCAGTGAAAATTTGTGGAGTGCAAAGTGTTAACACTGGAATCACCGAACGGGTGAAAACGAGGCATTGTAGCATTGTTTGTCTACAGTTATCGAAGTTGCGAAGGTATTACCGTGGAAAATTAGATTCTAGTATTTTCTTGTATTTTGTATTTGAGAGCTGCTTCAAATCCGAAGAAACGTATTCTCCTAATTTGAGAAATTGCGAGCAAGTCTCCCAATCGCTCGGTATTTCCAGTGCTAAGGATCGCGAAATCGCTCGTTTCTCGTGCTCGCGGTTGCGCAACACCTGGGTTTTCCACCCTCTCTCGTAACCCTCCGGGTTTTACGCGGAACTCGCGCGACCCGTTTCGATCGACGCGAGATCTTTATCGAGCGGTTTCCCTTCGCAACTCGGGCGTACCACGAATGTTTCTTAACACGTTGTCCGCCACGTGGTCACCAATGACCGGAGCGTCTAATCACTTGAAAATAATTATAAGAAAAAGGCTGATGTGTTATCAAAACATATAGTCACGTAGATAGCTAAATAACAGTGTAACTTAACACGTTAAGCGCCACGAAAATCTTGATCGTTTCGTAGAGTTGTTCTCTTGTGGCAAGAAAAAGCAGACAATGATTAATCTTCACCGATGACCGAAGCTTCTAAAATACTTGAAATCAATTACAGTAAGAAAATTGATATTGAATCAAAATATTTAGTAACACAAGCTAGATAATAGTGTAATATGAGTACTGTAATACCAAAACATTAATAATTATTTCTAATACTATTTTCCTCTATTATAAGGGAATTAATCTTATTATAACAAAACGCTCGAAATTCTCGTGGCAGTCAACGCGTTAACACGTTAAGCGCCACATTTTTTATTCTCGTTATTTTGACCGTTTTTTCGTAGAGTTATTCTTTTGTAGTAAAGAAAAGCGGAAACAATTGATCATTTGGCGTTGTAATCCTTGTAGTGCACTATTATCAACTTCGTTACGTTATTAAATATCTTCATTCGACATTCGTTATCTTGCATGTTACGATTGTTTCCAAGTAACACTAGTACCGTCAGTCATCGACGACTGACATGGCGCCTAACGTTAAGAACTGTAATACCAAATTATCGCTAATTAATTCTAATACCATTTGCGTTTATTATGGTGCGATAAGTAATATTATATAAAACGCACTAAATTCTCGTGTCAACGTGTTAATCAACTCTTTCGCTGTGACTGTGGAAAAACAGTTGCGACGGTTGACTATATCTTCGTTGATTTCTAGCGAATCTACTATGGAAGGATGGGGTCATTTTAATTTTCGGTTGATCGTACTCGAAACGTATCCAGTAGACTGTCAGATTATTAAGACATTAAATTCTCAGTATCAATGATCGATGAGAGAATAGCCAATACAACGAGCGAGAAAAGCTTCGGAGAAAGCAGAGCCTGTTTTCACTTTCCGTTTCATTTTACGATGACGCTAGAGGCAGGGCGATGGAGTGGGGTCGGGGAGAACACAGGTGATCGGAGAAGGTCTCGTTGTCTGGTTTCGTAGACGGAATATGTATTTCAGTTTGCTGGCCGCGTTGCGACGCGAGACGAATTTATCGATGCAAGGTACAAGAGAATTCACCGGTGAGCGGAGGAGCCGGGGTCTGCAGCTGATACTCGGGTCTTGGCTGGATCAACTCGATGACGCGTTGTTACCGCGCGGAGCGAACGTGAACGGCGATCGCTGGCCGATCCGCTGAATCAGTAGGTAATGCGGTAGCCGTGTTGTTCGATGGAGTAGCTGGAAGGTGCCGCTGCCAGTTCCACGGAGGCCAGAGCCGGCGCGGTGTAGATGAAAGGCGAGACCTGCAAGAGAGATGTTTCAAGTTTCTCGTGCTTTGTGGACCGGACGCGGAAGTTAGAAGCTAGAGATGCTTCTCTCGCAGTAATGACTTGCATCGAAGTCAGCCGCGGATCGTTGACACGGGACAACGTAATCAACGATGCTAATGTTTTAGATTCCTGGAGTCATTCTCGGAGAGCAAAGCAGAAGCGGTAGAAATGGAGCAATCTCTCTGTACCCGAAGTTGAAGGCACTATTGCTCGTAATTAGCTCCCGAAAGTCGGGATCGTAAACGACTCAATTAAGTCGCTCAGAAGCGGGGGCGGTTAACACGTTTGCTACCAGCGTCACATATTTGTGACGGCCGTAATCCTATATTTTACATAATGAAAATGAAATTGATCCTATAGGTATTATTATTAGAAATTATAAACTACGTCGTTGTATTTAGGAACTCAATGGCTGGTTTCTGTTTAATTTTTCTAATATTTTGTTTAGATTTATTGGATTGAAAAAAATATTATTGAGGAGACCGTCAGAGAAATAAGCGCTGGTAGCGAACGTGTGGAATCGATTTTTTGATATTCTCGGATTTTTATGAATTTCAATGAAATAAGTAATATTCTTTTTAGTTGTTCAAGGATCTACTCGTTTCTTCTAGGTCGAGAAGTTCTTTTTATAGCTTCTGAATGTATTGTATAATAATTTCT